CATTTCAGTGTTGTTACGTTTCCTTTTTTGACAAATTTATTAATTTTTGAACTACCATCGTTTCTACATCTGTTATAAAATAAGTGGTGACGTCGCGAAATTATTATTGAAAATAATACTGCATGCAGTGAAACCACTTAGAGCGCAAATTTTGCAATATTGTAAAAATATTAATTAAATTAGGCACTTTATTTTTTTTAATATCTCCACTATTATTACTGATGTTTTACCTCGTTAAAATCTGAGCTGAATGTTCGAAAATGCTCGAATTTGAACAAAATTGTAAAGGATGTTTAGTTTAAATACAAATTACTGAAATTTAAATAAAAATTTTACTTAGTTACTTTGATATTTTTTATATTTTATGACATACTCTGTACAACGCTTGACTTGGAACCAACTAATAAAAAAATTTCTCATTGAGGGAGACTTGAGTTACCACATTGTATCTAGATTCTGTATTTAATAATATCCTATATGCACAGTCTGCCTCATTTTATATTGTTTTACGGCGTAGCTCCCTTATTAATAAAGCTGCTTTCTTGACCCTTTTTTCCAAAGGAAAGATGGCACAAATCAAAACGTTGGATTTTTGTAAAACTTACAAATACGTTTAAGAGCTGTTTCACATACCAAGCATTTATTTCTAATTTTATTTTATTTTTATGAGTGGTCCATGAAAATACAGATTTTTTTAAATAAATTACATACTTAATTGCAAAATTTACTTGTAAAAATAAACTTTTTAGTTTTCCATATTAAAAAGACATTGTTAATTTCTTTTTGAAATATCTCCTCCTAAGTTTAGTTTGTAGATCAAAATTTGTGAGTTTCAGATGAAAACTGAATACACCACTGGATCCAACGAATAAAACCCTATCCGGATCAGTTTCCACCTCTTCGATAAGTTAACGCACAACCGAACTACAAAGGACATCAAAAAATGCAAGGGCTATGTAATTTCCGCTTGTGGTATCTTTCATTTCACAAAAAAGGTCAGGAAATCAGCAGGCTTTATTATATAGCGAGATATGCCGGAAAACAATACGAAATGCAACATTTCCAAAATCACGCTGTAACTAAAAATAAAAAAATAAGTATGACACTTCTGTGTGTGATATTTTATTTTTGATTTCATAAAAAAGTGACTTTGGGCCAACACGCTATAGCTTCATTAACAAAAACCACTATTTTTTTGTAGGGTTCTGTTAGGGTATGGGAAAGACAGTAAATTTACTCGAAAGTCCTTGACTTCGAGACATGCGTAGTCCCAATTTAAATTTTGATATTTTCAAGGACTTTTCGAATTGTTCATATGAGGCAACCGTAAATCTCGCGCTTTTTGGTGGAACCACGGGGAGATAAGTTTGTGACCCGGAGTTCCGCCGACGTATCTATTGACGAAGAACAGTTTACGAAAAGAAAAAAAAAATGCGTGGACGCGCCTCAACGTGTGCACAAAACCAGGCTAATGCAAATACACGTCGCTGATGGACAAATGTGACCCACTGAGTTCTTTTAACTGGGTTTTCGTTACGTTTGACAAGATTTTCAACAGTATTGTCGCGCGTACGACGAAGCAGATTCCAATGGGAGATTATAAATTGGTGCGTTGAATGAAAACCGCGTGAAGAAGGCTCTTAAATCGTATTCTAGGCAATTCTGCGTTGCGATAAATTGTATAAAATTACATGAAGCAACACAAGAGGTCAATAAAAGAGTGACTCCAAAATAAATCTGTCAAAATAAATGAAGTTATTTTTTTTTAATAACTCTGCTATTTCACATTGTTCAAATAAAGTCATTATTATTATTAATATTAAAAGAAGTTTTTCCCTAGCAAGCTAAAAACTTGTGTCATTCCACAGAGTGCTTTAACCATTGCATATAAATTCCGTAAATATATATAGCGTGATCCACGGTGGGGAAAACCATAAGGATAGTTCAACATAAATGTCGACCCTACCATCCACCGTGAATACATACGGAGCGTAATAAAATGTAGGTATTTATGTTATTTTTACGCGTTTCGAAATTTTTCTACATTAGCATAAATATGCGATTAATGTGTGTTTACGAAACACCTAGCGGTGACTTTTTTCTAATCGAACGGATTGCATCTACGTCTTCGGCCTTGACTAAAACGCGGAGATGTCGACAGTCGATGAGAAGACGAACCCGGTGACGCGCCGCGTTTTTCGGTAGGCGTGGTCGGTTGTCGGCACCCGGCAACTGCTCGTGGTATTACAAATTGAAAACTTCAATGACATAGTCCGAGTTTTTTTACCAATCCATCTATTCAGCGGCGTCTAATAAATATTGGCGTGCGACCCGGTATACCAAACATACGACGCTTTAAATCGCTTTGGAGGTCAGCCGAAATCGGCGAAAAGAATTTTATCGGGTCGGTCGCCGCCTCCCCGAGGCATTTTCCCGTCTTATTAGTATTCGATACGTGCCGGTAAAATGCCGAAGATACACGAAATACAGTCCGCTGCTAACGGTACCATTGTCACATCGAGAATTTCAACGCGCACAACAAAATAACCCATTTCTCCGATATCGGACCAAATTTTTTTGTTCCGTGATGATTTCCGCGCCATATCGCGGCCCAAAGAGATTCCTCTAATCGCTTCCGCAGTACCCAAAGAAACGGGACCCATTGTAGGCAAATTTTGTCCCGAAATGGGCCGCCCATTGTGTTCGGCGTAGCCTAGATAGCCATTTTCTATTCGATAAATTCTTTCAGGTACCCATTTTCGAGTTGGCAAAGTTCCTTTCAAAAATAATCGTTGGTTTATTGATTGTAATGCTTTGGTTAGTTTCAATCAAACCAAAGGAAACAACATGATAATTTCAAGGTGTCAAAGAAGCTAATTAAGTGTTGCAAAAACAATTGACAATACACAGCATAGCACTTAAACAAAGACAAGTAAGGCAAGAAAATAATACCGAATTCAAGAGAGAATTTCTGAATTATAAGGAAAATCTCATTTAAAGAGTAATACATGTGACTTCTGTACAAGCTGTGGACATTCTCTTACACACTTTGTTAAGCGTAATAATTAGTTTTGGTTAGTTAAAATCAGGTTTAGATAAATACGTCAATTGTGGAATGGAACCCAATATAGAATACGTTGAGATAATTTTTTTTTTTGCAAAATTTGTAAGATTTTTTAATTGTTTTGCTACTGTGTACTATTCGCATAAGAATATAACCTACGAATAATAATAGTCTCAATAGGTTTAAATAATAATAGTCTCAAATAGTTTTCAGCACGTAGCACGTGCCAAGTTTGATTAAAAATGATAACATGGTCAGAGGGAAGCAAACAATTTTTTTCAAATTATAGGTAATTATATTATAGGTATCAATCAATAAAATACTCTAACTATGTAGTTTCATTTCCAATTCTAATACTTCCAAAGCAGTAACTGAATGGAAAACCAATGATAATCACAAAGTCTAATAAATGTCCAGTAATAATTATAAACTAACCAGTGATCAAAATCATTCCTTTTGGAAATGTAATAGAAAATGATGTCATTTAAATTTTATTGCACATAAAAAATGGAGGAAGTTTCTTGAAACCCATGGTGGGGGAGTTCGGACAGAAAAAAAAGCCCAAATATACAATTGCGCTCTATTATGCTCTCACGGATCCATGACAAATATGTGAAAGCAAAACTAATTCCTTTATTTTCGCAGTTCTTAAAAATTATCGCAGATATTATAACAATCGTGTAAAATTTAATACGGTTATCGATCGCGCCAAAAGCAGAGTGATCAATTCGGCGCGTTTTAATATGCACATGTTTGCTAAGCTTGGGAAATATTTTTTTTGTGAATGTCGCACCTGCGTGTCCCACTTTTTACTAAATCACTTGTCGCAGTGGTAAAATGAAACAAATAATTATCTTACGCATATATTCACCGCATTCCTCATTCTAAATACACCGACTCTAGTCGGTAACAGCCAGATTTGTTTTTTTTTTGGCGAAATTATAGCCTGAATTTAGATGTTGAGGCTTGAGGTTAAACTGCAATTTGCACATTTATTTTATGCAATTTGAGTGAAACATTTGCTTTGCTACTTTCCCTGAAGGTAAAATTCTCGGAAAAATATTAATATAAAATTAAAACTGAATTGCTATGGTACATGTTTTCCGTCTCAATTATAGACCTATTTTGATGTAATCGTATACAATTTGACAAAAAAGAAGTTAAATATCTAATTGTTCCAAAATTTGCGAAAACACAATTTAGGCAACCCCAGATGCAGGAAGTCAAAATTTAATTATATTTTCGATTTTTGTCAACAATGTGAGAATTAAACAAAAAACAATGCACCAAACTTTCTGATAATTTCTGATAATTTAATTAATTAACTGATAATACCCTCCCTTTTTGTGTTGTTTTAATATTAATGCTAAGTCAATACTTATGAGAAAGGTAATTGGCTGTTGTCTGTCAAACGTTCTCGGTCGAAAATCCGGACGCCTCGGCTATTTACACGTGTATTTACAATCAAATTTCGATGGTCCAAATATAAATAAATAAAACGTGAAGTTTTTTACAGCACTCGCGGATTGACTAATTTCGGACATTCGAAAATAGTCTGCGGCCTAGTCCACGCACCCGAACAAAATTGAAAGTATATTGTCAAGGATTTTTAAGATCACTCACAAATTATGTGACCCCCTTTTTGAGAAAATGTCGCTTTCTTTGCATAATAGACCGCTAACGCGATAATTTGTTTTATTCATTAACATCAATCGGTCCAAAACGTTTTCCTTTTTTAAGAAAATCTCGTAGCCTACAGAGAAGGTCCCTCTACGTCCTACATCTATCTCTGCAGCAGCAATGTGGTTTTACTAACCAGCACTTTTGACTGATAACGTCAGCTACTAGCGATATCCACGCGTAACACGCAAAACAACCATCGAAATACCTGTCGTATACCTGGTATCCCGTTTCCAAAAAGACACCATCAACCTACCATAATCAGCCCGCGGCGAACGTCACTCTAAACACACAACATTCCTGCGTTATCGGTGAAAACTCAGGGTCCTTTTTCCGAATCCGGAAAAATGCTCGCGGATGTTAACGGAAAAATCACTTGGCTACCGTCTTCACGTCACATAGGGCCAATTTTGGTAACAAACGCGATTTAAAAGAAACCCACCGAGGTAACCAATCGAAGTCGGTGTGCTCGACTGTGTGCTCACCTGAGAGGTGAGGTAAAGGTGCGTCCCGTTAGGTCGGTATGTAAGGTATTCTACGGTTTGCACCAATAGAAATTTTCGTTTCGGGGGCGGATTTGAACAAATCCGTTAGAGTTATCCAGTCGAGACGATTATCTGGGTTGCGGAAAGAATCACCGCACTTATTTGCTCAAGGCTGGACGTGTGAGTTTGTCACATTATGCATTTTTAAGAAAAAAAAATGTTGGTGCGGATGGACGTCCGCCGAAGTCTCCTAGACTGGCTGACAATTCACCAAGAACGGCTTGTTGTTGCTCGTGGGCCACTCGAGGGATTTAAACAAACAACAATGGCAATTTTTATACCTCTGTCTGCCGTAGGTATGAGCGCTCAGTTTGAATGACTGACTCACTTTCATGGTTCTTAAGCAACCAACCTCCGCTAAAACCGTACCAATTAAAATTCTTTCCATGAAGTTCCAATAAATTCCAAAAATTAATAACAATTATTTAAAACCACAACCACTAGAAATTTGAAGTCATTCAATTATTCCGACTTCCAACGCACCCTTGTATTGTTGGTTGCCGGTTTCAATTGTATCAAGTAGCGGTTCTCATGCAACGTATCGACAATTTCTGGAGGAATTCAAACGAAAATAATCACAACTCACTCTTACCAACCATGTTATTTGCTGTTATGGAATATTTAGTAATCCGAGGAACATAATGTCGGTGTGAACATAAGAAATCTAATAACACAATCCGCATATAGATTTTTCGCTTTTTTTATCACCATTACAATTCTGATCCATGGATACGATATCACCATCTTGTTAGTTTATAAATATTTTCTACGTATAAATAGCTTTCTACAGTTTAATTTCCCTCTGAATTCGAATATTTAGAAATACAGTCGATAGATGACGCGGTCGCAAAACAGGGTTCTATTTCCGTTGTGCTCAGTGCCAGGCGCCAGTGCTTCGGCTTCCGGCCAACAGATGGCAGGACGAGATTAAAAATCAAAACATTTGCTGGTCTAGTTTATGCTGTTCCTATTTTGTTTTATAGACATGACATTTTCGGTGTTATTCATGTAACTAACAATTTTATCGGATAACATCATTTGCGGTACGAAAACAACTAAGAGCTCACACTTTAAACTGCATTCAAGAATCGTGAATCAAATATTCGAAAGGATCCCCAAATAAATCGGAACTTTGTGAGCTGTCGGGTGAGTCATTAATTCTAATTATAGAAAAAAACGACCCAAATCCCATAGATTAATAAATACGAATTTTATTAAACGCGGCGCTCATTTAATTAGAACACAATTAAGTAACTAATTCGTTGTCGGTTGCGGTGCGAGGGGTGCGGCGGGAAAACCGGATATCGCGTTAAATTAATTCCCGTGGACTTCTAATCCCACCAATTAGAGAAAGGACATAATGTAATAGCCGCGGCGATATAAAACGTCGTCGTCGAGTGAGGTGGGGGGAGGCGGTGGTTTTAGAGGTTATTAAGGTAAACTGTGGGCCGTAGCTGGCGAGCGCCGGAGTGAGGCAACTCCACGTTGCTAAGATACAAAGGGGCGGAGCGCAACGTCGCTGCGACGCCTCTTTTCTTTTTATCCCCCCTCGCCGCCCGAAGAAACTGTGGATCGTGGATTTGGCAGTGTACTGTTTGGCCATGTCTATTATTAAATGCAAGTCAACGCTTAATAAAACATAAACAATGTTAAAATGGGCTGGGGAAGGCTTATTGTTGTTTAAATTTGTTACTTTGTATTTATGGTTTGACCAATTAATGTGCAGTTGTCTTGAATTATTTTAAATATTATTTGCATTATTATTATTTTGTTTAAAATATTGAGAGGTATTTAATTTAATTGTTAAGCTTTTTCATCGAGATTTCGTCTTATTAAATACAATTAAACTTCACAGAATTTCGGAGAGTACAAAACAGAGCTGTGCGGGCAATTCTGAAATGTCATCGATATACAACTGCGATAGCTACGGTAAATGTGTTTCAAATATGAATTGTAAAGCAAAAAGTAATGTTTGATGCCTAAAAAATAAAGTAATGCCGCCATATATGTGGTTGATTAGTTTATGAAAGTTTATGATTATAGTGCTAGAAATGGTACTGATTTTATCCTAGTCAATCGATGTAAAACTTCGAAATTAATTAAATAAACATTTTCTAGAGTTTAATCGGCTGCAAAATATATTAAGGATTGTGATAATTTAAATTCTTTTAAAGGATTCATCAAAAACTATGTATTGGCTTAAATTGTATTCTATTTTATAGTTTTTTTTCTGTGTACTTTATACTTTTATACTTGTTAATTTCGAAAATCGATGAAATGCGCTCGTATAATTTTTTTTTGTCTTTTGTCGGTTTTCCGTTCTTGCTATGAAACACGGTAAGTGTCCGAAATTTGAAGCAATCGACTTCATATTCGGCACATATATGCAGCTTTGCCCCGTGACGGAACCTATTAAAAATGGGGGGGGGTCGGTAAGTATTCTAAAAAAATAAAAAATCACGCGTGTAAGGGTCTACGAAAAACGTCATTTTTCAAAAACTGTTTACGAGACCAAGAAAATTCTTGAACCAGAAGAAGCAGAAGGTACGGCTCTATAAACTTTTATTATATACAGGGTGCGCCGCAAATTCAAAAAAACTTAAAAATGGGTCCGAAAATGGGTTATTGAAAATTGGCAATAATTTCGGATTTCAGATCAGTTTCTTTTACATGACGATATAGCCAATATAGGCAGCTTAAACTTTTGTATTTACGGTTTTTAAGTATTGTATAGGGTGTTCGCGATATTCCGTGCAATATTAAAAAACATAATTAGTACTCCAAATTTGCAGCTACCGACTTCAGACTTGGGAGAGAAGTACAAGTCTGGACCCGCATTTAGACTCTTTAAATTGGGAGCAATAAAATAACGCGAAGTATTTTTTTTATTTTTGATTTTCTTGTGGTTATTTTGGCAACCAGAAAAACATCTTTTCGTCCAATGCCGGAAAAATTTTACATCCGGTATACGTGGGAGACCCGGCGCTCTAACTTTTGTTTCACACATTTTTTCGATTATATACAAGATGAAAATTGTTCTTTTAGAGAGTGAATCAAAATTCGTACAAACAATAGCTAATCCGTTCAAACAATGTTATAGGCCGTATCAGGGGCTACAATTTTTGTATTTACGGTTTTCGTCTATCACACACATAATAATAATAATAATAATGCAAATGAAAATTACTATTTCTCGCCCTTAATCTAGCCGCGATGATGTCATTTACAATTACCACGTACTGCATGGTTTCAGAAAACAAGTAGTTTTTTGAAAACCATTTACTCCATTGGAAAAATTCGGATACCAGGAAACTAATTAGATCCAGAGCTATATCCTCTATTTCGAACATTGTTGGAATTATATACAGGGTACGTCGTGTGTGCGCAAAAAATTCTCATAGAACCTAGAAATTTCCGTTTTTGTGAGTGAATTATGGCGACACATGAAAAACTTTTATAGATTCTGATAATTTGATATGAATGGTATCGTAAACTGTGTTGAGAGAGAGTTTGAGGTTTCGTCTATAATACAGGGGACGCAAGATATTTGAAACAATATAATTTCAATTTGCAATTACCAGTACAAATTTTGATATTTACCGAGGTATGCCGTAAATTTGAAGTTCGACGAAATTATACAGGGTGGATTCACAATCAAATTACATCGATTTTGCGAAAGTTCCATAGTGGTCCGCACGAGCACGATGGAAAAACATTTCGTTCCTCCAAGAATCCGTGAAGCGCCTTCTTTTTAAAATATAAAGCTGATTCGCGCTATTTGCGACGAACTTGCCCCGTTCACCAATGATTTTTCGAAAGCGATCTTGATATGTATGTACCGAATTGTATTCGAATTTTGTTGCTGGCTGATACATTTACAATGTAAATACGCAAGCTTTTTGTTATAGCTTTTATGCTATACTAATTTGCTATTTTGGATGACTTTTTCACTATTTTCCATTATTTTCGCTGATTTCATAAATTCCAACTGATATTCTCAATTCAATTCATTCTCAATTCAGTCATTTTCATTTTTTAAATTATATAAATAATTAACTTAAATTTGTTTTTGTAAATATTAAACTGAATAATAATAAATAATTTTTCGCTTTTTCTACATTTTTGGTATTTTCGCGAGATCTTCATTTAATTCCTTCTACAATTTTTAATCTTATTCGACTCACTTTACTACGAATTTTAAAATAATGTTTTCAATGATAACATAATTTATGGCTACATGAAAAATTAATGGCAGTTTGGTTTATAAACTAGATGTAGGTGTTTGAAGACTTTGTTACCAGAAAATTTCCACTGGTAATGGATTTTTCGTATGGAGTTTTTCAATTTCAATGGGAAACGAGAGGATTGAGTTGTATTTCCTTTGCTAAGATTCAAGGGCGAATTAACCACTAATGATGGATGATGCAGATTTCAGAAAGATATATATATTACTTCGATCAATAAGAGCAAAAATTAGAAGAATATTTATTTTGAATCAAGAGTTTCAAATTCAAAAATTCAAAATTCAAAATTTACACAATTAAATCGCTTCTTTTTTTGTTCGTTAAACAACTGAGTTGTTGCTAAGTCATAATAGTATATTATGCAACAAGTGCGGTAAACGGCATTTGACTCACGAGTTTATTTGACACGAGCGGAGCGAGTGACTTAAAAAAGTTTAAAGAACGTGTTGCATACTATACTATTTCTACGGGTATCATTTTCTCTCCGAAATTATCCGATATCTCCCAAACCTGTGGGGTAAAATCCCGGAAATATCCGAAGTGGCTCGGATCCGTGGAAAACGAAACTGATGTGGTAAAGTGACGCTTCCCGCACGCTTGATCGGTGTGTAATTAGGTATTTTACAGACGGGAGTAGAAAAATATAATGGCGGTAAATGTTCTCTAAGCTCAGTT